TATATATATATATATATATATATATATATATGACACATTTATCTATGCGTGTATTACACCCTTTGGTAGTTCATATAAAACCTCTCACATCTGTCATTTTTTTTTCTTCTAAAAATTCGTCTAGTTGCAAGATAACAGCAGTGGCGTACATCTCTGTTTCTATAGGTCGTGCTTCTAGCCGAGTTTTATGAGCGGCGTACTCATGTGCCTTTCGTTAACTGCTGTCAGGCGTAGAACAAAATTCCTCACAATAATTTTTTGCTGTTCGAGGTTAAAGGAACTCGTCAGATGATTTGGTTTATCTTTTTGCAGTCTCAAACCTGCGTTATTTTATTGACGTGTTGTTTTTTACAGTTCCTTAAGTGCGCTCTACATCATAACGTTTATGCTATCAGTCTCATGAATGTTTCCGACACTGTGATCTTACCCTGAGAGCTCATTTTGCTAAAAGAAAGGTCTAACTTTCGGCAACATGGACTGTGAGACGGAATTCAACACACTAATGTCCTTATATCAGAGTGTAATGCATGACTTAAAGGTTAGTTTCGTTTCTTTTTTGCTAGTCAATTTAGCCTTAAAAGCAGTTTAGTACCAATTAACAGAGAGAGGAATTTTGTTGAGAAGAAAATCACATATTCGCCACTTGCCTTACAACTTTTTACCTCTCTTGTTCTTAGATATTGATTTTCTGATTCGTTCTGTGGTTCTTAACTGGAGGATAAAATTGGGATTCAGTTAGCGTTCTTTTTTTGTAAAAGTTTCCAAAAGGCTTTTAAGTAATCTTCTGGCGCTTGAACTTTTGTCCTTTCTAGATGAGAAAGTTATTGGTCGTTAGTACAATATTCCTTTTCTGTCTGTTTAAACGAACTTTTTCAGCAGACATATCCAGCTTGGGAAAATGTCTCTCAGAAAGCTCTAAAGTTATCAAACCAGTTGAAAGGGACGATACTTTGTTTCAATGCCTTTTTTGATGCTGTACAATCTGTTGGTGATGCTGCAAACAATTTAAAGGGTATTTCTGGGAAGTACTTTTTCTAATGAGAATTTAGAAGCATTGCCTTGAACGTTTTTAGGTGCCACTCGAGATATGGGGGCGTGCTTGACACGTATGTGTATGCGTCAGCGGTCAGTGGGATATCAGTTACGAGCTTTTGCTGATGCATTAACTGACGAGCTTGTTGTAGCAGTTCAGAATAAGTGCGGCTACTGGAAGCAGAGGACTACAGAGATGGATCGACGTGCATCTAAGTTTTGTCGTAAGGTGACGTTTTCTCCCTTACTTATGAGGAATTGAAGTTCGTTTCAGCATCACCTGTTTATAGTCATCATTCTTTAATACTGAACTTCTTAATTTTTGTTTTACATTGTTGTTCTTTTAATTTTTATTCTTTCTGTTATTTGTAGACACGATCCCGCAAAGGTGGTATAGATTCAGCCTCACTTACTGAACAGAGACGAATCTGCCGCTCTCTTCTAACTGAGCAACGAAACCAATTGTCATTTTTTGTATCTGCGTTGTTACCTGTTTTCGTATGCTCTTTAAATTATTTATTTTTCTTTCTTATACTGCTTTATCAGCGGTGCTAAAATCTCTTTATTTGTTATTGTTTGCTTGCTTAACTAAGAAGTTTTTCCAACTTGTAGTAGGATAGATTATTTTTTGAAATCATTGTCAATAGATCATTAGATTAGCCACATAATCAAAGAGTTGCTTTCTTAATTAATGTTTCTTGAACTCTTATTTGAAGCGTTCTCGGAGAAAATAATTCCTTATTTAACAGTAAAAACCAGTTGTTATTTCAGAATAGTGAATTATGCATCTTGGATGAGGGGGCACACGTTCGCCAAATCACCGAACATCTGCAGCACACAGCACGTGCATTAGATTCATCAGCTGTTGTTGATACAATACTAGATGACATTCATCAAGGTTCCGATTATTCCTGGCAGAGTTGCATTTCATCTAATGTTAGCAGAGCTTCCCATAACTGTTTGCCTGACGAGACATCTACACGCGTTTCTTCTCCGACTCCAAGCACCTTTACATGGCCTTCAGCCGTCGAAAATTGTAAGACAGTGCCAGCATTTAGTGCTTTAGGAGAACCCTTTTCTGCCTTTTTTATATAGCAAAAATTTTAGTTGGCAAGCTGCTTCTTTGCTGTTTAAATCAGGTAATATAAAAGTAATAGTAATGTTTGGTTTTACTCTGGAAATCCTGTTTTACTTCTGGGGATGATAAAAATTTGTTTCTATCATATTCTTAACTTTCTAGCATGTCCTCGAACTGCGGCTTTTGTTGGATCTCATACAATTTCTGTAGTCGAAGCTCCGAGAAGAGGAACAGTTAACGCTAATTTATTTTCGCCGCCGTCACCGAATTTATTTTTGAAAAAACCTTTGCTGCCCAAAAGAACGGCTTCAACTTCTTCTACTTCTTCCAATATTCCAGATTTTAGCGAACCGCTTCCTGATCAAATCCAAGTCAGTTAGAGTTTAATAAGCCCTAGAACTAATTTTTATTCTGTTTTGCTAGAATAGTTGTTTTATTGTGTGTTCACTGCAAATTTTTGATTTCACAAAGTTCTATTTTCTGAATGAGACAATTCTTTTAAAATTAAAAATATCTTTCTTTTTTGTTATTTTAGTTTTTACTGCTTTTAGCAGTGAGTTTATTTATGTCCTAATAGATCTCGAAATGCTTTATTATAATTTTTGAAGCATATAATTGTTTTTAAAGGTTCCTATGACATACCAGAACGGCGGGTCGCAATACGCATCTTCAACAAGTTTGTCACGCGATTCAACTCTAAGACGTCCACAGCGTCCATCAAGCTTTGTATATGATGATTCTTCTGGCACCTTGCGTATTTTAGCGGCTAAAGGGAAGATTCAAACTAGTTCAGAAAAGGACAGTATAGTTCCCTGTGATGGTAAGTTATGTGATTCACTTTTACCTTTCATCTGTTACACTGTCTCTAGTTTTTTGATATTTTAGTGTAGTTTTCACTTCTGAATGAAAGGAGTGAGTACTGCTTCCACTTCTTTAGCTTTTCTTCTTCCTTTCGGAGTTTCTTTGGATAAATCTCAAGGTTTAATTGTTTTTTCTGTCGTCATAATTATTTGAAAAATTTACATGGGTTTTTTTTCGCACTTTATAGTACTTTTGTACTTTCGACGAAAAGTCCTCTTAAATTTTTTAAATGCAGCTTCATTTGAATCGAGTTCCCTTATTGCTCAAACAATTCAACAAATTGACAAATTGGGCTCTGAATTAGATTCATACTGCAGTGCTCCACCGCAGGGAACAGTTCAAACTCACGTTCGTCTCCGTTCTGGTACACTACTCTTGTTGATTTTTTATAGTTTTTACTGGATATTATGTTGAACTTCTATTTTGTCATTTTTAGCTTGTAATTATTTCAGTTCGGCACGTTTTGAAAATAAATTGTTTTGAGTTAGCAAAGAAAAGTATTTTTTAGCTAGTAACTGCAGACCACCTCCTCCACCGGAACGTAGAAATTCAACAATAACTGCTGCAACTCCAACTGCTCCGTCGGTGGCGGAAATTCGTGCTACAAGTGCCGCACCTTCAGAATATGCAGTTTCTTTAGAATCGTCTAGTGAACTTGCACGGGGTCATTATGCAGCCTTTCGCTTTCCGTAACGATTTGGCTTTTAGTATATTTGCTCCAAAACGAATCCGAGATCTGTTTGATATTATGGTGTCTTACGCTTTCGTCTGCATTTTTTCCCAAGGTTTATGCTTCCATTTTCTTACTGCGACTGATTTTGAAGCATTCTTACGTGATTAATGATTATTTTTTCAAAATTTGTCTTCTTATCTTGTTCACTGGTGAGGCCTGTAAAGAGCACTTTTGTTAAGGGAATTGCTGGTTAATCCAGGTAAATCAGAGCTTTGCCGTTAAATTTGAAAAATAGTTTTGTTGAGTCGTTTATATCTTCCTAGGGGCTTTTTAACAGGTTTGCATAGTTGCTTTTAACCATGTGTCAGCGTTATGGGGGCTTTATTTTAAAGATTTCAATCGCATATAGCTTTTTTACTTGTTGCTTCCGTTTTAAAAGGCTTGCTTTGTTGGATGACGCTCGTGAAAAGGTAGATTGAAATCTTACTAGTTTTTTTCCAGGTAAATAAGGTTCGAGCGATTAGCTTTTTGCAGCCTTCGTTACTTCTATTTGCTTAATGCATAAAAAATTCGTGTTTTTTTTTTTTTGGGGGGAGTATTGAAAGGTTTCTTTTTTTATACGATACTTCTGGTACTTTCTTTATACTGCTTTATTTTGTTGTCTTACGCTGTCATCGGTTTTGTCAAAGCCAAAAATCATTTTCAGCGCTCTTCCAACATATATTTTTGCATAAGCACTGATACGGCAGTTAATTATTGGTTCCTACAGGTATTTTAGGCATAATAAGTTTTTAGTGTTTTTCATTATTATCTGTCAACCACAGTAGACGCTCTAATCTTCTGCTTTAATGCACTCGTAAATTATTTGATTCTTTTGCTGGATGTGTTTGTAAATAACTGGAGATTTCTTAAAGTTCAAGCTTTCCATCTTTGCTGCTTTACTATCTAATACGCGGTACATGTTTGTAGATATTTTGATTACTTTGTCTTATAATAAATTCTTTTCTTTCTTTGGTTTACATCTTGATGGGTAAAGTATGTGTGAAGCGGATTTGTGTGTATGACAGTAGCTATGAGTTAGGATTCCTTGTTTTGTAGTAAAAATTACGTTGTCCTCACCATACCTGGACTGAGGTGTACTTTTTACTGAAAATGAGTTGTTGGGATGGGATTAGAGAGCTCTTTTCTTTCGTGGCGCTGTGAAGGAGATTTTAAAGGGGCTATGACAGTGTTTCTGGACGTTCTGGGTTCTATCATTCTTTTTTTGTGGTTATGTTTCCGGTTGACCGGTCCTTGGATTTCCACTTTAGTTCGAAGAAGGATTGGTTGGAACTTGTGAGTCCTGGTGCAGTTACTTCTAAAAATTAAGAGGGAATCATTTGCGTTGGACTGGTAGGCGGGGTTTGGTGAGTAGGGTGTAACGTTTTTAAGGCTTAGGTAAAAAAGAGATTGATTAGATTCGGCCGCTGTGCAAAATTTCTAGTTATACTAACACTGCAGAAGAGACAGTAGCATACTTTTTCGGTACATGCTGTAAGCAAATTTGATCGCAGCCAATCACATAAATTGGAAAAACGGAAACCTGATTTGTAAACATGCGGTTAGGAACAAACAACCAGGTATTTTTGAACCAAAATATCTACTTTGGAAAGGAAAAAAGAAGAATCATTCCCGTACAGCTAGACTTGGTCATACCGAAGAAGGCCCAGCTTCTGATGTATAAAATGTGATGTATTTCAGACTGTTGACTTTTCTTAATGCATACAGATTTTCCACCAGGTTATGGTTTACATGGTGATTCCTAACCTTTTCGTTTTATAAAGAAGCTGAATTCTGTATTCTTATAAAAATATTAAGGCTAAACTAAAAATAACAACTGCATAAATAACCGCACACAGAAGCGCATTTAAATGAAGAAGTGTAGGCAATTCAGTGGAATGGATAAATTGAGGTCATGTAGTAGCACTTCTAATCCCTACAGTAACCCAATTTGAGTTCATTCTAGGCTTAACTAGACCTCTCTTATTACGGTAATTCCTCTTCTGTTGAAAACCGTAATCTCTTTTTACTCTAGAGAGCTCTCTTATTTCGAACTCCTGATCTTAATCTATTACAATTTTTTTAACTTTTAATTTCAGTGAAGGGAGTGACTCTAGATGGAAGACTTTATTTTTTGCCCAAAATACATAAGATTATCGCCAATATGTACAGAAATTTGTGAGTATAAAGCGGATGGAAGAAGCTAGAAGATCAGAAAGAAAACAATAGACTTAGCAACGGCACGATAAATAATTGGATCAAAAGCCTTATAATGGAAGTACTGACCTGATTTATAAATTCATATGGCACCAGAATCAAGAATAGTGTATAGCTTACAAAATTAAGCACCAGTTTATGACTCCAAAGTTGCAGATGAGCAATAATTTCAATTTTGATGATAGTTTAGAAACATGACCGATCAGGATGATTGGTACCCCTTTTGATAACTTATCAACTAACTTGGAAAAGGATCGTGCGGCTTCTTGTATTGTGTGGTTTGTGGTGGCCGTAATCAGAATGACTTCGTTACTTTGTCGGCTGTATTGATACCATTGTCAGATCGCTGCCGACGCCATCAAAGCTTTCCCAATCCCAGCTGGCGCTTGTTGGAATATTGGGCTGTGTGTAGTTCGGATTGCTTGAAAAACTTGACCTTGTTCTTTATGCAGCTGTATCGTCTTCGTCGGAAAAGCCATGGAAATTCCCTTTTTTTTTTACTTGTTGAATAGTATATAGCTTAGGAAATTAAGCACCAGTTTATGACTTCAAAGTTGCAGATAAGCAATAATTCCAATTCTGATGATAGTTTAGAAACACGACCGATCAGGATGATTGGTATCCCTTTCGATAACAATGTTTAGTCTTACAAAATTTTATAACAGTGGACTTCTTTCTTCCTTTGAGCGACCGTTTCGTTTGGCCTCTCAAACGAGAAGAAAGTCTTTGTTCTTTTACATGACTAAAAACTAAGAATATGTGGTATTAAGCGTTCTGGGCCTCGGAGTTGCTTTGTTAGGTTTTAGTGTTAACAGGACTTATTTTGTAAACCTTTGGTTGAAGCATGTACCGACGATTGCGGGTTGGTTTACTGTATACAAGATGTTAGATGTCGAGGAAATCGTCGACAGCAAAAGTTACTTTTTTTGCGAAGTGAAATGCAACTGCTTAATCAAAAATTATGTAAAAGTACAATATCTTGCAGACAACAATTGTTATCACACCTATAGTGAAACTTATTTCTTCACTTACAGTATCCTGTTTGAAATATAGTTCTTATATTGGCTATTCCAAACCGTTTTTAAATTTCCTAGAGTAAGTTCCTTATAGTTAACTTACTGCACTGATATTCTTACGACCCCTACCTTTTAGATCGTAATCTCTTATAGTACTTATATTCTAAATAGGAAATCAATTTATTTTAATACCAGTACCAGAAGGCAAACACTTGCAACGATGCAACAACAAAAAAACACGAGCAACAGAAAAAACTATTTAAAGATCAGTTGAGACTATCAAGGGCACCGACAGGAAACTGCCTGTTATAAGGCAAAGAAAGAATTTATAAAAGACAAAAAGCAAGTGGTAAAATCAATACAATAAGCTGATAGAAGCTTAAAAAGGAAGGACAGCCTTCGGAATAAGAAATAGAAAGAACTCAAATCAAATTGGAGCAAAGAATAATTAATGGAGAAATACTAGTAACAATAACCTCTCTACTTAAATTTTTTTATATGCTTAATTTTGGTGGGAAGAATAATGACCTGAATTTTGCCTCGCAGATCGGGTGATCAAATGGCCGGGCACTATTCTTTGAATCTGGAGGTCCTGTTACTATATCACTTAACCATTACAAGGTCTAATAATTTGTCATATTATGTAAATTCACCATTAACACTCTATTTTAGTGTCAATTACAACAACACCCTAGTTGTTCTGTACAGCTGAATACTCCAAAATAATCTTAAAAACCGTCAGCGTAAACAATGCTAATTTGCGGTTGTTGTAACTGATTATTCTTTAAAATTTACAGGCACTTGAATAAAGTACAAATACGATAATGTAATCAATCTCTCCTGAATAGTATAATCATAGTTACAAAAAACTGAATTCACCCAGCCAATGATTATTAACAATAAAACGAAATTTTGCTGTTCAGGGAAACTTCTAGAAACATTCTCCTAATCTATGAAACCGTCGACAGATGCAGCGACGTAAAGGGTTGGAACCGAAAAAATTCGCGGGAGTTGTCTAACAAGTATGACAAAGTGAAAGAGCTGGCTACCATTACACAACCAGAAAGTAGGAAGTTCAGTGGAACAGAAAGTACGGTAATTTGCCCAAAAACCTACTTAGTATCACGAACTTTTGGCAAATATATAAAGAAGAAGCGTGGAATGACTTCAACGTCACTACTGCGGCACCACTTAAGACTTACGGATTTGGGTGATGATTTTTGCTAATATTTCAAACACAAAACTGACTTAAGAGGCATTTTTCAGAAAAATCTAGACCCATTTGCTTCTTTAAAACTAACTATTGTTTATACGTTGTAGATTCAAAACTCCAAATTCACTCAGTATTTGGGCAAAACATGTAGAGCAGTAATCCCCCGCTTTCTCTTTACTCATAATTCCTCCTCGTGCTGGCAAGAGAAATTTTGAGACAGTAATGGTCTCATCTTTTCGGCGTTCCGGCTAATTCCTTTTAGTGCTGGGGCTGCATTTACGATGAACTTTGAGGCTATACTATTCAGAAGACATACTGTTTATATTTTTTTCTGGAACCTAAGAAGCTTATAGAATAATTAGTGAAGACGACCAGTGAATAGTTTTGTTGACATTGATCGTTATTAAAACCAACGTTTTTTGAAATATTCAACTGT